TGTTGTTTTCATGTACCTACATGCGATCGTATAATTTTATCTGACTTGCTTACACGCATCCTTAGTCTATTGCTAAGCACGTGCCTGCCGTTCTGCAGTAAGCGTGCGAGCAATACTGTCTTTATGTAATTTTTCAAAATCCTTTATCGCAGAACGAATCCGACGACGAAGCTATAACAAGAATGCGGCCTACGAAGCTGAGCTTTCTCGGGAGGAAGAACGATTGGAACTCAAGCGGGCCAACCGTCAAGCGAAACGAAACCGAGAGCAAGAACAGTCCAAAGAAAAAGAAAAACTGGAAACATCTACAGAAATGTCGGTGGATGAGGGTGATGAATCGCAGGTGGACGCAGACGACATTTCCCCTGTCAGAGGGAGGCGAAAGAAACGCGGCGGGAAACAGTCTACCGGAAGTCGCGGCAGCAAACGCACGAAAAAAGTTGAGGTAGAGATAGATTACGCAGGATGTGAAGACGCGGACACAGACGAGTATTACTATGAGGATAACTACGCATACGAGGGGGTGTCGGAAGACCTGCCGTCTCATCTGCATGACGAGGTAAGGCAATCATGAATGCACTGTCAAGGAATTTCGGAAATCGTATAGTTTTCAATCAAGTGAAAAACGGCCAAAGGACATAACATCGAAATATCACATAAATGCGATTTTTTATCATAGATTTGAGGCTGTTGAACGTGTCACTTTGTTTTCTAAAAAAAATAACGAGTGAGGAAATGCAAAAAGAACGTCAATGTAAAAAAAAAAATCAGTGTGGCCCCTCTTGGGCATCACGGAGCCACCTATCGTTTTGTGATGTAATAAGATAACGATAATCGAAACTGCTGCACTCCCGTTTTCGCAAGCCTACGCTATCCCAGAGTCAAAACGATATACCAGACCGTGCTCTCAAATAAAACCTCTCCATTGCAGTTGAATGACATGATTGACGACGGCACCACACAGAGCGAGGAACAGTTTGACAAGCCAGCCGAGACTAACGATAGCTGCGCCCAGGACCGCCGCACGCCTCCGCTGTTGAAGAAGTTGACGTGTAGTAAAACCTCGGGAGAAACGGTTCTTCACCGAGCGGCGAGGATGGGGTACGAGGTAGGTACACTTGATGGGGTACAACGTACGTACATTTGACGGGGTACGAGGTACGTACATTTAAAGTCCCGTATCATCGGTGGTTTTCTTGCTCTCAACGAGAGCACAGTGAACTCAAATTACCTTTGAATTCAGGCATCTTTACTTCGTTTGGAAAAGACTGGGATAATTACATTTTTACCACGCGGAAAGATGTTATGTTAGAGTAGAAATAGTAAATGAATTACTCACAAAGAGTTTACGTATAACTGATACAAAAGCAAAAGCTTCGCAATAAGAAAATAAGATGATTTTAGACTGCAGAAATCGTTTGTTTAGCTGCATTCTTGAAAGCGTGTGGTCTGCAAAACTGTAGGCCCTATGCACTACTCCTTTGTGTGTGTGTGGGGGGGGGGGGGGCTGATCAATGTAGATGACGGAAGAATGTTTAACAAAAATAGGAAATCTCTCAATTCTTTTACTTTTTTATTTCTTTGATGTTTTTTTTTCATGTTTGATGTTATTTATGTAACCTGTTAAGAAGTACAAGTAATACACCTTGATTCTAAACATGCGTAACTTCAAGAGCACGTCGTCGTAATGGAACTCTTTGTACAGCTCCTTACGGGAAACTTGGGGTATCTCTTTTAACGTCCATGCGGTCACATATGATAACCGACACTTTATGCTCTGCCTCTGTTCCAGGACGTTGTTCTACACTGCCTGGAGACGAAGCGGGTGGACATTAACGCCAAGGACAACGCAGGGTACACGCCGCTCCACGAGAGCTGCGTGCGAGGCAATTTGTCTGTAGCCAAACACCTGCTGGAGTTCGGTGCCAATGTGAACTGTAGCTCACAGGACGGAATACGGTGAGATAACGTAGAATACTGTTCTTTGACCTTTTGTGTTGCTTGAAATAAAGAGAGTTAAATATAAGAGATGGGAATTGAGCAATTTGCCGTGATATCCGGCGTTAAAAAGATGAAATGTGATTACGATTCCACTTTTTTTTATTCAGGGGCAGGTGAATTTATATATTTATATTAGATTCTTCTTATCGCAATATGAGATCAGGGCATGAGTATCCGATACACTTAATGCTTCATGAATAAGTTGGTATCAAGGTACATTAGCAGCTCAGTGGCCATTTTAATCTGTTTTGCAAACACGCACACGAATGTTCCTGCAAAGTAATTTTCTTAACACCTTCACAGTCTGCTATATTTAGGCTGCATTCACAACCGAAGTAGATCCGCGGACTTACACATCCGCGGATCAAGTGTGGTCGACCCACTTGACAGCTTACCGCGTAATCCCCGCTGGGAATCTATTCAGTGCCTGTTAGGGGATGATGCACCAAGCTTTCAAGTGGGGCGGCCATATTTGATCTGCGGATCTGTTAGTCCGTGGATCAACTTTTACTGAATGCGCCCATATAGATGATGATTTTCTCCGTCTCAGGCCCATACACGACGCCGTGGAGAATGACCACGTGGAGATCGTGCGGCTGCTGCTGTCTTATGGGGCAGACCCCACTCTGGTGACGTACTCGGGAAAGACGCTGAACAAGATAGCACGGTCCAAAGCCATGAAGACGTTCTTAGAAGGTACAATAAGACAGTGTTCTCTCTCTCTCTCTCTCTCTCTCTCTCTCTCTCTCTCTCTCTCACACACACACACACACACACTTCCTTCTTCCCCACCCTCCCTCGCTCCCTCCCTTTCTCTCTGTCACGCACGCACGCGCAAACATACTTAAGCTCACGTAATATATGTTAATATATGTTAACCGTCCACAGCAGCGTCATTACGGAGGTGTACCCAGGCTAAATTGTGTATTTCTAATTATAATTTACAGGCTACTTTGCTGATCTCAAAGTTGGTGACAAGAGCACAGAGATACACCCATGGGAATTTGCCGGTTCGTCTTCAATACTTGGTAAGTAGACAATAGTACATAAACCAGGCCCTTTTCTATTCGAGCAGTATAGTTATCTGTATCGTACCAGTTTGAAAGATTGACAACTCGGACTGGTGCGATACAGAGAGCTGTAGCGGGACTTGATGGCAGAACCCCTAAAAACATGCCGATACATCTGTTTAGCTGAGTTGAATGTATTAAGGCCCTTCTATCATTGGCACACACGCACATCGTTGATCTTGCATATCGTTTCTACATTATGGCCCAGTGCGTCCTTAATATTTATTACGAGGATCCTTCTATCGACGTTGTGTGCGCTTAGGCTTGCCATCGGCGTTACTTGTCACATGGGAAAAGTCGATTCTGTATACCATTTTTCTTTTGAGTAAAAGAAAGAAAGTTGAAACGTTTAAATTCTTAAGACACGATAGTGCGTATTAGCGTGCCACACAAACACACACACACACACACACACACACACACACACACAGAGAGAAACGCACAAATTCCCACCCCCCTCTCACACACACACATACACACACACTATTACAAAGTTATTAACCTATGTTCCCATGCCGCTTAGATCCCCAAGAAGAGGTGGGTTACGACATCTTTGCAGACATGCCCTCAGACTCGGACTCCGACTGCGGCTACGAGAGCGACATCGAGTTCGAGATGGGGGACAAGCCGCACGTGCCTTGTTATAACATCGTGTGCGAGGACGACCATGGGTACGTAGGACACGTTTAAGATAGTGCAGGGACATGGTTCAGTATTCAGAAGTTCATTTCTGTAGTCGATAACTGGCTTTTGCAAAGACTGCTGTGCGTTTTATTCGACCTGGGTGCATTTTGTAAAGATTTTTAAAGGACGCTTACGTCGATTTTTAACACTTAAGCTCTATAGAAAATAGTTATTGTTCTGACAATGATTACTGCTCCCAGTCTTGGTATAGTCTATTTTGGCTTAGTTAGCTACATTGATTGTTGGTCAATCGTTAATAGAAAATTTGAGAGTTCATAAAACAGAGAGTCCGCCTTCAATTGGATTCATACAGGTTAAGGTGAGCGTTACGTAAGTGAGGCAGAATCTAGGACAGGGCTTACGTGTGCAAATCCACGGGAATTGGACCTCATTATTTCATCGAACCCTCAGTCCCTCATGATAGAGCGTCCGATTCCCATTAATTTGCACAGGTAAGCCTCGCCCTAGATTTTGACCCACTTACGCCAGGCCAAATCTAACCAGTATAGTTAAATGGCGGGTGGACTCTCAGTTGCGTTACACCGAACAAAACGTGTCTCACGTGGGCACACCCAGCCACGTGCTGTGAGGGTGCACGTGACCTTTGCACGCGATCCTCTGCTAAAACATCGTTAATTCCGATAAAGTTTTAGTTTGATGAACTTAAGAAACCAACTTCAGTAAGTGTTTGGCAGCTGCTGGTTTCGAGTAAATAGGAGAAATCTCCAACTTTGTGCGTATTCATATTTTGCGTGTATTTGATTTTCAGACCCTGCAATTACGTTGTACTGTATGACGTGCTGGATTACCTCGACATGAAGAAAAACGATTTCATCAATTTTCACGGAAACCTCACGTTCGTGTCCTTAAAGATGAGCGATTTTGCTGAAGCGATAGCCAGCAGCGTGGTGAACAACAGGTGTAAGTGGGTGACAGGGGACATGGCTAAATCACAGGGGTATATTGAGCTGGTCAAGCTAGATGATAACCTGAGAAGAATCTTTGGTACCTCGATGGAAAGGTTGCCAAAGGAACAGCCGGCGGAGACACAGGTAGTGGAGTTGGTAAATGCCGGGTCTGTTGTTACGCCAAGCACCAGTTCCGCCCCAAATAACATGTTAGAGCCAGACGACATGAGAGTTAGCATTAAGAAAGAAATAAGTGACTACGACGAAGAACCTGTCCAAATGGAAACTGATTTTACCCAATCAGGTTCTGCGGATGTCGGAAGTCCGGATGATGACGAGCCGCCCGTGCTGTATGTCATGTGTGACCCCGCAGAATTACAAAGGTCTCGTTTCCGGTCCCCCGTACACCCAGCAACTACAGAGGCTCCGGACGCCATGATGACGTCATTTGACGGCTTACACGAACGCGGAGCGGTGTTTGCAGTCAAAGAAGGAACAACAGCTGAGAAACTTTCTGCAGAACTTCCATTTCCTCCTGCGATCCGTCCTATCATCCAAGCCAAGCCCAGTGAAGCAGACGCCATCTGTGAGCTTAGGATAGCAGACGTCTGCAGTCTGGCGGGTAAAGGTGTTGAACTGTTCAATAACAGCGCAGGCGCGTTGCCGGGAATGTTTGAATCTCAAGTCTCAGAAAACAAAGCTCGGCGAACGGAAAACGGAATGGACGAAGACACCGATGATGATATGCCTCAACTTACAATGTGTACATGAAGCTTTTTTTTTTCAACATCACACAGTTTTTGGAAAAACGTTTTCTTTCAAGAACGCAAGTTAATGCGTTTATTTTTCAAAAAAAAAAAAAAAAAGAAGAAGACTTGAAATGAAGCGACCTACCTCTTGACGAAGTCATGTTATGTAACGAAAAAGCACTAAGGTACTGATACTTTTAAGGTCCACCTTAAGCTTTTTGTGAAAACGAATTTCTACCTTTATGACGTACCACAAAAAGACACCGCTCCTTAAGACGAAAAGAAGTCGAAAAGAAGTAATCACACGACAACCCACTTTTCGCCGCAATGTACCAACACAATTCTGGTTTCAGTTTTCTCGTAATGCGAACAAGGCTTACTGCATTTTGAAATACAATTTTGCACACGTACAGCAAAAGGAAACGCCTAATTGGTGGACCCAGGAGATCCATGTTTGACTACCTCGCTATAATTACAGTGGCATTGAAGTTTATGTTTGTTCGTTTTTGACACCGTTGCAGTGGTTGTTCGTTCTGTTCTCTTTTTTTTTTTTTATTAATTTTTCATTTGTATTTATTTGATTATTTTTCTTTGTGTTATACCAGTATGCTGAGACGATAGAACGTCAGTATCAGTTTAAGTGTGAGACCGTCAATTACGCCATAAATTCAAGACGATTCCTTGTTACTAATTAATGTGAACTAAGTTGATTACCTCAGTTATATCCTATGGATAACGGTGCAAGAGGAATATGTACACAATGCGTCGAGGCATTTAAAAGAGAAAGTGTGATTGGAATGTTAGTGATACGTCTAATCTGACTTCAAGCGAAAGCGTCCCTCGCTAGAATCAGGAAGTTTCTCTTTATTAGAGAAGTGAAAACTGTTGGCATGGACCATTACGGTATTTCCTGTTAAATATCAGTGATTTGGTAACACTGATGGAATATTGTTAGATTGTTCAAATGAAACCTATGATCTCAATAAGTTAACTGTGATTTGAATCGTTATGATCGAAGCGGGGCAGGCTTTTTCAAAGATAAAGAGTTTTTCCCGCTTACTGTTTAGACGCCTAGATTGATAGTTTCTGAGACGGTTTTTCACTGAAGTAGCAGTAGTTTTACAAAATGGGAGCCTGTGATGTTGTGACAAGTACCAACAAAATAAAGTATTTTTCATCGTTAGTAGACTCGATACTTTTATCAAAATCACCTGGTTATAGGTTAGATTGAAACTTTGCAAAACATATTGTTTTGGAAGTCCATTGTGTGAGTAGTTTTCCAATAGATATTAGGTTTGCAGTTTTTGTAGATCCAGCACGGTTCTGACGTCCATATGTGTTTGGTTTGTCCGGTTACCGCCAAGCACTGCTTCTAACAGTAGTCTTATAGTTGCCGTCGAATGGCAGGAATGTTGGTTCGTACAGGAACGTGTACAAAATGTAGATAGTGCAGTTACTGGAAGAAAATGTAAAGTTTTTATGATATTGATTTAAATTATGAAAAGAACTGATGAAAATAAAACTATCACAGTGATTGTTTCAAGGTGAAATAATCGTTATATAAAACCAACAAACCATGTTGTTTTTGATACCATCTTTTATATTTAGATACTTTAAAAAATTATAATTGTCACGGTGTAACATACAAGCACACTGTCATATACAAACACACAATTTACATTACGTCACTTTGCTCGACTGTCCTACCAATTTATACAAATCTGAAAATTAAAATTCATGTGACGAATCAAGATTTCACCCACATCGCCCACTTGGTACCATTCATCGACCAAAATCAATAGGAGATGAAACAGAAGCCATTCCACGTTCTTCTACAAAACAAAAATCGATGGAATGGTATCATCCATAACACATTATCATTAAGAATCAAGTCTGATCCATTAAATAAGTATCGATCGACCACAGTGAGACACAACAAGCACTGGCTTGCGGTAATGACTCGATCTTTTCAATGTGGGAATATTGTGGGTTTTACAGATACTGTATTTTTAAAGTCAATTTTTTTTAATTAGAACATGCCTATTAAGTGGTAGCAACACAATTTAAAAGCAGGCTAGTCTTTAGTTCTATTCTATGCAGCAAAACCACCACAAATGCTATATAAAAATATATTTTTATGATAATAAGACAATGTATCTGAAAATTTGATAATTGGAAAAACCAAGTGAATACCGTAGTTCTTTTCGACTATCGGGTGCTTTGGAATAACTGTCTCGTCTAAATTACTAGAATATTCTCACCACTTAGGCGCCGTTCAATTGTCTTCATTCACCATGCGTGTATCCTGAAGATATCTCTGTCAGTCAACCTCATTTACTCCAGTATAGTATATTACAGTCATATTCACAACTCATTCAGCTCAAGTTCCATACTAAAAGGAGCGAAAAGGCACACGCACCTTGGCCCACTGAAGTCCCTTTCTGGTTAACAATATTGCCGTGTGCCGCCATGTTTTCAAATAGATCACAGTCATTGAAAAATGCATACGCACAATCTTATCTTTATCAAAGATTGATATATCAAGATTCTATTGACATGCGATGCGGAGAGCAGAGTTAGAAAATCGGATTCTGCGCCCTGAATGTGAAAAGTGAATTCTACACTCTTAATGTGCATGGTACCTTCACGGTAACCATCCCAAAATGGGGAAAAAACCATCACTGATCAAATAGCCCCTCCTTCTTCAAAAACCTCACCGCATCCCCCCAACCCTGTTCATATATTCTTTCAAGTCCGGTCTTATTGGGGGGCACCAGCGCCCTTACCCCACGGTGCAGGTTCCTGAGGTTGAACTGGAAGTCCTGGTTCACCGTCCTGACCCTCAGACCCAACACGCTCCTGTCGGTGGGGCTGATGTCTTGATGCCCTGAAAACGGGGACACGGTGATGGTCCTCCCCGTGGGAAATACTGGGAGGTTGTCCGTGAATCCGCCGTCAATGTACGACTGAAGTTAAATTCAATGTCAGTTTGGTTACTGGGAATAATAATCCTAATAATAATAATAACCCCAATAATAAAAACAGCAATATTAGCAGTCATAATAAGTATTGCATTATTACTGTTGATGTGATTGTTATTGCTGTTGTTTTTAATGATTAATATTATTTTATCGTTTTCCAAAATCATTTGAGTCATAAGATACCTATATTGTCACAGTGGGCACAGAGAATAAATCTCAACATTATATTCATATTAACATCATACGGTCGCTAATAATGATCAGGAACAAAGAGAAAATAATATATATCAGCTCGAGTCCCACAGTTTACTTGCTAACACATGCAGATACATGCAGTACAGGAAAACATACCTTTCCACGGATGTGTAAAGGTTTTGTCGTGCCTGCATATCCAGGGATGTGGCATGAAGCGAGTAAACACTGGAATGCAATATAAGCATCTCAACAGTAAACAAATGTAGGTCTATACACTGAGCTTGAAGAGTGGAGGATTAAACCCGTCGCCCGTGACCGGGGGAGGGGATGGGATGGGCACCATTCAGAAAAGATGATCCAAGTACTTACTGATCCGCCGACTAAATATGGCCAACCCCACTTCAAAAGCGATCCCGCTGATTCCATGATGGTCTTTCCGCCTCTACAGGGGCCTGGCAATTAAACCTCGTAGCTGAGATTCAGTCTGTTGAATGGCGCGTGTGGAGGCGGGGAAACCATCGGGATTCAGCGGGCTCGCTTTTGAAGTGTGGTCGGCCATATTTAGTCGGCGGATCATCTTGTTCTGAATGCGCTTAAAAACATGAGGCCAGGGCTTTGCCTACCCAATACATTGTCATCCATGTCTGTTACAACCATGATAATAATTGTACTTTTTTATTCTTACATAATTACATCATTTTTTTTTCGAAAGAGAGAAAGGGTTAGCTGCAGATGGTGCCAACACAATAGGTTCAATGTACTTCAATATGTCAGTCATTCAAACGGGGACAGATGATATCATCAAAGGTAATCAAATGTTTTATTGCGAGACGCCGGTGTGACAGGAATGGTAGTCTGCTAGGAACCGTAGTCTGCTCCTCATTACTCTGTACAGGTGACATTCGTCCCATATACTTATCTAATGCTCCGACAAACCCTAACATGTTCTTATCAAATACCCTCTACCAAGGCCACAGATTGATTTTTCACTAGATATTAACAGATATGTCTCTGGTTAAATAGATATCTCTGTACTCTTTGTAATCTCTGTAATCTCTGTGCCTCAGCAAAAATGTTCACAGTAATAACTGCGGCCCTGGTAGAGGCTATATGGGACCCCGCAATCCCATTCCAAGGACTACCATTCCTGTTACACCAGGATTTCAGAATCTTTTCTTCCAGTGATGCGTTAGGTGTGTCCTCGGCACTCTGTCACAATACATAACTGGTTGGTACGGGAAGATTGAACGTCCACACAGAGGTTATACTCTCCACCTCCTGTAATAACCACTGACATTTCCTATCTATCAATCCTTTTAAAAGAATTTTAAAAAATTGCCAAATCTACTTTTCTACAAGATTAATCCACAATATTTATTAGCACTGTATATTTTATTGGTCATGTACAACATTAAATGAGTGCTTTATTTCTTAATACCAATTATCCTTTTGGCACTGGAAATACATCCAGTAAATGCCTTGCAGCCTCTATCGGTTTTCTATCAAGTTCTTCTCTTAAAACGTGAATTTTCTTGAGTGATTATGTGCAAGTTTTCGCAAATGCATCACAAAAAGAAACAAATATAATTGCATTACCTGAATAAGAAAACCGTTACTGTCGTATTCTGAAATAAGAATGTTTTTCAACCTGGGCTTCGTGTGTCTGGAGAGCTCTGACAGTGACGTAAACAACTTCCCTGTCGCCATCTGGTGGGCATCTTCTGGCAGAAATTCGCGGAGATGTTGCTCCACGCTGAGCATTATATTTGACTTTTGAGTAAATATACCGATTTCCCTCTGGCGAATACCTGCCGCCATTTTGTAGGACAAATCCTTCATTATCTAAAATATGAGCCATTTATATAATAAACTAAAAATAACGAATGTCTAATTGGAAAATGAATAATAAATTGACAAATCAATAAATGTTTTCATCAATCAATTAATGAAAATTCTTATAAATCTTAACAAATGATAATGCTAATGGGAATTCATTTGATACAGGGCTTTGAGTAAGTCACCTAAATCCCTTTAAAAATGAAAAGTTCGTAAATTTCTTATTTTGTTTTATTAATGTTAAGTCTCAAGTTCCAACTTTTCAAACACTGCATGCATTTCTTCATAGACGTACATGGAATTCTTTCAACTTGGTCGCCATGGCAACAGCTACTAAGGCTCCAGCAGACGCCCCAGCTAGCTTGTCCACACGACTTAGGAACCGCCCACCATGTGTGATAAAGCACTCGACCACGCCCACTTGATAAATAACCATAAGGCCACATCCACAAAATGAGAGATGATACGTCATGGTGAAGAGTTCAGTGGCTGCGTGAAATATGAATGGAGTGTTGACCTAGCTTTTAGAACACATCAGTTCAGAGGCGCTTATGAAATTTAAATTTATCTGGTCATTAAAATAATACAGTAGGCTCATCAAGACCAGAGGCAATAGACACGTCTGCTAAAATGGGTACATCTAGTGACTGACAAGAATTTAAAAAAAGGTGTCTCGGTAGCTGTATGAAAAATTGAATAAAATATGGATAAAGCCGTTAGAATATATCGGTTCAAAGGTCCCTATGAAATTAAAATACATCTGGTAATTAAAATAATACAGTAGGTCTATCAAGGCCTGACGAAATGGGCAAGTCTGTCAAAATAGGTACATCCTGTAATTAACAAAATAACTAGCGGCAAATTATGATCGAGATTCTTCATAAAGGTTTTATTTCCAACTCATTTAAAAAATGATTATTTTTAGAAATAACCGTAATTGGGTGGCAAGATTGATGGTGTGACACGAGGAAGATTTTAATATGTAATTGTGCAAATATCCGGTTCCACAATGAAAAAAATCTCATCAGATTTATACTTTCTTAGTTATCATATTTATCAAATTTTCATTCTAAATTTCAAATAATCATTTTGGTGTCCCCATGGATAATAATTTATGAATTATGTTTATTTCTTATTTGGCAGTTTTAGTCAAATACACATGAGACGTACCTATTTTGGCAACGTACGGGTACTATAGTGCATAGTTTGTCAGGGTGTAAAATACCCAAAGTGGTACCCGTACGTTGCCAAAATAGGTACGTCTCATGTGTATAATTGATATAAACAATTAATTAAAATAATATTCATATCCTAAGATAAGCTTAGAAGGGGGCAGTCAATAGACATTCGGGAATGATCGTGACCGGGGCACTTGGCACGAGATAAAATTTAGAAATGCCTTTGAAGGCTAGGGCGGATAATGGTGATCCAGGAAACACGGTGACTGAGTTGGGGCAAACCCTGAGAGAAAAGAACTGCGCTCAGTCAAGTGTTATTTCTTCCTGGTTATTAAAATTCCTGAATGATCTATAAAGGCTGCCCTGTTTTAAAGTAATATCATATCGTACTTTGGCTCTGGCGATATCATTATACATTTTGGACTGACAGTTACTATGTAGAAGAAACATCTGTATATTTTCCAAAAGACAGTATTAAATTTCCACTTGCGTCAAATGAGAATCTTGTTCATTTTATTGGATCAGCTGGGCGCACAACACTAAGGCCCAAGAACCAGCGCGTTATCTAACGTGACATTATTTTAACGTAAAGTCTGACTGACGAAGTCTGGGACTTAACAAGGGCATGCACAGCATAATGCGTATGGTAGAATTATGGAGTTGAAAAATAGTGCCAATACAACTGAAACTGGAATGGTTGTCCAACAGAAACCGTTGATCGTTCCCACTTACTTCGTAAAAGTGATATTTACACCATATCTTGGTCACAATACTTCTTAATCCTACGGCTAAGCTGTACAAATTAGACTGTGTAATTGTGGTACCACACGAGTACTGGTATCATTCCTGACACATCAGGGTATTTGAGGGTCCGTTTGCCGTCAAGACCCCAATGTCATGGTATTTTCTCAGTGTGCACTTTCTCACTTGTGAAAGCACTTTAAAATAAGACTGGCTATGAAATCCCTCAGCGATTAGATCCTCGACTTTTTTCTAAATCCATTTAACCGGGTCCGTCGTCCAAGCCCCTGGTGTTCAGTTGTAATTGTTTATGAACATGCATCAAGAGAGACTAAAAAATTAAGTATTTTATGTATGCTTAGTGTAACAGACCGATAGCTCGGGTAGATGTTTCTTTATTGTTGTTGTACAAATATCTCCAAATATCTCCAAATATCTCCAAATATCTCCAAATATCTGCAAGATTAATATATACAAATTAATTTTAAACAATTACATATACAAAATTTACACTGACGAAAGACAAGAAAGACAGAACAAAGAAATAAAAATATAACAATGCCAAAAACACCATAAAAATAAATATATAAATTTAGAAATGTGTGAATTTAAACTATGGATTGGTCCTTTATTAAATATAGTTTAACTTACCTGCAAGCTCACTGGAATACCTATTTCAGTTATTCAACCTGCATCTCCGTCCGACTCTCAGGTGGAAATCAAATTTTATGGGGCGCGGTCTTTCAACCCTTGACCTCCACGTACACATACGAACATACACGATTCACACCGAACACAATCCTAGCTAACACAACAAACACAGCAAATCTTACATTCTCCCCTCCCCCCGAAATGGGTTCCACACCATTAAAAAAACAACAACAACATCAATCTTTGATTTATATTTATTATGCCATATAATTTTATTTACAATATCCAATCTTTGTTATTCAACCATTCGGGCCTGTTCCTACTTCTTGTGGGTCGTACTTCTGCAAGTTCTTCAATCTGTTTTTCTTCATATTCCTGTTTCATTTCATAGATTGGAAGTAACATGTTTCGATGTAGTGTCTTTGACTTTCCCGCACCATCTTCTCTTTTCACTACATACACTGGAATACCATCATTCGGCTGATCTACTACCACAAACACTTCACTCTGCCATCTATCAGCAATCTTGTGTTTACCATCGAATGCGACATTCCGAATTAAAACACGGTCACCTATTGACAACACACCCGCCCCTGTTTTTCTGTCAAAGTTTTGTTTTTGTCTAAATTTCGCCCTCTCTATTTGAACTTTTGCCATGTTAAAAGCTTCTCGCAATCGGTTTTTTAATTCCCGTACGTACTCAGACTGAGATTTAGCGGTTGTCTCTGAGCAAACATCCAATGATACATCAACCGGTAACTTGGGGTGTCTACCAAACATTAGGTAGTACGGTGAAAATGACGTAGAACTGTTACGCGTACAGTTGTATGCATGAACTAGAGAAGCAATGTGTTTTTTCCAATTTGACTTTTGGTTTAGCGACAATGTGCCTAACATGTCAAGTAGGGTCCTATTCATGCGTTCACATTGTCCGTTTCCCATAGCGTGATATGGCGTTGTTCTCGATTTCTTTACACCTGCTATGGAACACAAATCCGCTATAACCTTTCCTTCAAAATTGCGTCCTTGGTCAGTATGTATACGGTTGGGAAACCCATAATGTACAACAAAATTTTCAAAAAATACTTTGGCGGTTGTTTTTCGCCGTTTGGTTTGCGGTAGGATAGGCCTGCGCGTATCTAGTAAAATGGTCTGTAATTACCAAAATATTGCCGACACCACCTTTACCGTCTTCAATAGTTAAATAGTCCATGCACACGAGCTCTAAGGGTGCAGATGAGGATATGGGGCACAATTCTGCTCGAGCAACAGGCAGCGTTTTGCGTTTAATGCACCTAGCGCATTTACTTATGTATTCACCCATTTGTTTACTCATACCTGGCCAATAAAATCGTTGATTGAGTAAATCAATAGCTCTCTCTCTGCCCAAATGTCCGATCTCATCATGGCATCCGTACAACGCATCTTTTCGGTATGCTTTTGGCAACACTAACTGTTTCAAAACTGACCCATCATTCTTTTGTTTTGTGCGAAACAGAACATCATTAGATAAGATCAAGCTACTCATCTCTTTTCGAAACCTTTTACTTTCAAAACTGTTCCCTTTAATGCTTTCGACTCGACCTTTCAATACATCTCTCACCTTCTTTAGTTCTGGATCATCTTCTTGCAATCTTTTCCAGTCTTTCTTCTGATTCACTGCTGAGGACAAAATCTCGTTGGGTATCACTTCTTCCGAACATGGCAGACAACTGATCAGCGGTTCCCCGGATTGAGCACTTTGCCAAATAGCCTGACAAGTATTTTCAGATATCGTCTCTGGCCAACGAACACGGGAAAGCGCATCGGCTTCTACATTACTTTTGCCGGCTACATACACTATATCAAAATTGTAATTGGCAAGATCGGCAACCCATCTGTGAGTTGTAACATCCAATTTTGCTGATGACAACACGTATGTCAGGGGATTGTTGTCGGTCTTGACAGTAAAACTATTCCCATACAGATAGTCAGAAAATTTTTCGGTCACCGCCCATTTCAGAGCCAAAAACTCGAGTTTATGAACTGGGTAATTTTTCTCTGACTGACGTAACCCTCTACTAGCATACGCTATAACTCGGTCCAACCCATTCTGTTTTTGATAGAGAACAGCTCCAAGTCCACTTCCACTAGCATCCGTCCTTAGTTCAAAAGGTTGGGTAAAATCTGCAAATGCTAAAATAGGACTATGTATACAAGCATTTTTCAATTCCTGAAAAGCTTCTTCATGCTTTGCTTGCCACACGAATGTTTCAGTTGACTTTCTACTCTTTCTAGATGTTTTACTCACTTTACCTTTTGTGAGGTCATGTAAAGGTTTGGCAATTTCACTAAATCCCTTGATAAAACGCCTATAGTACCCAACAAAACCTATAAAGGACATGACNCTGCCCAAATGTCCGATCTCATCATGACATCCGTACAACGCATCTTTTCGGTATGCTTTTGGCAACACTAACTGTTTCAAAACTGACCCATCATTCTTTTGTTTTGTGCGAAACAGAACATCATTTGATAAGATCAAGCTACTCATCTCTTTTCGAAACCTTTTACTTTCAAAACTGTTCCCTTTAATGCTTTCGACTCGACCTTTCAATACATCTCTCACCTTCTTTAGTTCTGGATCATCTTCTTGCAATCTTTTCCAGTCTTTCTTCTGATTCACTGCTGAGGACAAAATCTCGTTGGGTATCACTTCTTCCGAACATGGCAGACAACTGATCAGCGGTTCCCCGGATTGAGCACTTTGCCAAATAGCCTGACAAGTATTTTCAGACATCGTCTCTGGCCAACGAACACGGGAAAGCGCATCGGCTTCTACATTACTTTTGCCGGCTACATACACTATATCAAAATTGTAATTGGCAAGATCGGCAACCCATCTGTGAGTTGTAACATCCAATTTTGCTGATGACAACACGTATGTCAGGGGATTGTTGTCTGTCTTGACAGTAAAACTATTCCCGTACAGATAGTCAGAAAATTTTTCTGTCACCGCCCATTTCAGAGCCAAAAACTCGAGTTTATGAACTGGGTAATTTTTTTCTGACTGACGTAACCCTCTACTAGCATACGCTATAACTCGGTCCAACCCACTCTGGTTTTGATAGAGAACAGCTCCAAGTCCACTTCCACTAGCATCCGTCCTTAGTTCAAAAGGTTGGGTAAAATCTGCAAATGCTAAAATAGGACTATGTACACAAGCATTTTTTAATTCCTGAAAAGCTTCTTCATGCTCTGCTTGCCACACGAATGTTTCAGTTGACTTTCTACTCTTTCTAGATGTTTTACTCACTTTACCTTTTGTGAGGTCATGTAATGGTTTGGCAATTTCACTAAACCCCTTGATAAAACGCCTATAGTACCCAACAAAACCTATAAAGGACATGACATCTTGTACAGATTTTGGCACTGGCCAATTCTTTACAGCCTCAAGTTTCTTGGGATCTGTCTCAATACCTTTGGAGGACACAACATGGCCAAGATAACTGATCTTGCGCTGGAAAAGCTTGCACTTGCTGGGTTTCAACTTGAGACCATGATCACGCAATCTTGACAAAACATTTTCCAATTTAACTATGTGCTCTTCGTATGTTTTGCTAAATACAATAATGTCGTCAAGATAAATGAGACAATGCTCTAGATTCAAATCACCCATGCACGACTCTAGAAGACGCTGAAAAGTCGCTGGTGCATTGGTACACCCATATGGCATCCTAACACATTCATAAAAACCCAACGGTCCAACGGAAAAAGCCGTTTTTGGAATGTCAGATTCTTCTATTTCTACCTGCCAATATGCAGATTTTAAATCAAGGCAACTGTACCACGAAGAACCATGAAGAATATCCAAGGTTTCATCAATGCGGGGTAAAGCATATGCATCTTTGATGGTTTTAGCATTGAGTTTCCTGAGATCAATGCAGAAGCGCAGAGAACCATCTTTCTTTCGTACAAGAACGACACCTGATGAATATGGACTAGATGACTTGCGAATGACACCAAGTCGAAGCATTTCATTCAGATGATTTCTCACCTCAGAAAACATTGATGGAGGGATGTGGCAGTGTTTGGACTTGAAAGGTATCTCATCAACTAAATTGATTTTATGCTTGACAGTAGTACACTTTCCCAAATCCAAGTCATGAATAGCAAAGGAGGTTTTATACCTAGACAACAGATGTTTCACTTCAGAAACCTGTGCTGGACTTAAATTTTCCTGAAGCATATCATCAAACTGACATGTAAAATCATCATGATTATCCACATTTCCAATGGTTGATTCAGGAGGTACAATGGAAACTTGAGATAAGTTGCAAATTGTCGAACCACCAGGAATGGTAATGCTATGGCAAGAGAAATTTGAAATTTCCACAGAGATGTCATAAGGAGAGGAACAAGGCTGTATCATATGAATGCTAGGAGATAGCAACAACCCTCCAGGTAAAAAGGAATGGAGATTTTCTTCTGCCAACACTAACATTTGTTGATTTGTAGAAATGTTAGATGTGCCATTTATCAACATTTTTTCACCTTGTCGAACTGTGATGGGTTTTGTGATCCTCACATTCCCAACAACACCATCATGATCAGGTGCCCTTTGTTGTTTAACCATACACTCACGCGCAAGTTTCAATGCATAGGGCAGGTCGTTTTCATTAACACCCTGTGTGTCAATAAAAAGTGATAAAATATTTGTTCCCAAGAGCAAGGGTGTTCTTGTATGATACTCTGTATTGGGTACAACCAAAAATAGAAACACATCGGATTCTAACCTATCTACATGGGGAATGGTAAGAGAAGCCTCGACGTAGCCCAAATATGAAAGGTTATGACCTCCGGCTACTTGAAAACCCAACACACTTTCAAGGGGGTTTATTTCCAAGCCACACGATTTTGCACATGAAGCAGAGATAGTACTCACCACTGATCCCGTATCCACTAACGCCCTTAATTCCCTACCATGAAAAACTGTCATACATTCATTAGAATTACCAACCAATCGCTTAACTACTGATGATTGTAGTTTGGGGCGTTTGGGTTGAGCGTCTGCTGAGTGCCCCCTCTCACAGACTGGTTCAAGTTTAAAGTTGGACACTCCGACTGCCTATGACCAATCATTCCACACTTCCAACACTCGCCAGAAAAAGATCTCCGACCGGAATCATTTCCAGTGGCCCCTCGAGCAGTACCAGTACCATTTCTACTGGCTGAGTACTCTCGATTACGCCGTCCTATACTAGTTCCAACCCACTTAACCTACGACTTAAAGAATCGATTGCTTTCATTAAGCCACCAGACTGCATGTCCGATACAGCTGCATCGAGATGAAATCTTTCTTTTTCCTCCATCTCTATTGTTCTTCCTTCCACCAGTAATTCTTCGAATGTGGCACCACCATCAAATTTATTTTTTAATAGATGCCTGATAGTGTTAGAATTAAGCCCGGAATAAAATTTCAAACGCAACATGGACTTTGCACCAGTGTCTGTTACTGCCGGTGGATTGATGGAGAGTAATTGCGCAACTAAACTTTCCAGTCTACAGGCCCATGCTGCAATACTCTCAGAATCATGCTGTTTAGAAGAATGAAATTGCTGTAATATTGCCCCTGATGACAACACATCACCAAACACCTGTTCAAATTTCTCCAAAACTCGGTCAATTTCCTTTACATCACCAAGGTGATATAAAACATCAGACGCAGGACTTTTGAGTGACCTTCTGATTGCATGTAATAAAACGGCATCGGAATAAATACCGTCACGTCGAAGAGCTTTGACTTCAAACAACCACTGCTTAAAGCTAGCATCCTTGGAATCCCCGGAAAAAAGAGGTAGACGGGGCGGATGCGTATATGAAACGAGTTCTGACCCTGATGTTGAAAAAGTTGGGATCTTTGGTAGTAACCTTCTTGGGGTGCTGCCTTTTTGTATTCTAAAAATTGGGGTCCTTTTTGGGGTACTATTTACTGGAAACTTTGGTTTTGATGATTTGGGCAACAAACTTTTTACTTCCTCGTAAACTTTCACAATATCATCAGCTGGTAACGACTTAATCATACCTATCACTTCGGACAGTTTTGATTCTTTAGTTTCTAGTGCATCCAGTATATCCCTTTCCATACTTTTGTTTATTTTCTTCACGTCAACTGTTTGACCATCATATTTTCTTTTATCAAGAATATCAATGGCTTCTGTCGCTAAAGCGGCATCTTCAAATACTACAAATATTGCACCCAATATTGTGTCAGGTCTATGGATGTATTCTATTGTAAACTCTGATACCAGATGGAATTTTAAAAAGTCTTTCAATTCAGAATCTGTAATTTGATCAGGCAGTCCAGTAATGACAATGCTTCTTGACCTTAATAAAGACGATGGGTATGCCATTCTCAAAAACTTTTATGCCAGATGCTAGCTAATATATATACATCACATTCATTCATGAATAATAACAACACAATATTCAAAATTGTTTATTTATTCAGTGTCAAGTAAATATCAATAGCATCAATGCACAGTCATGATTTCACACCATCATATCAATATCATCACAACATATTCATAATCAGTTGAAGACACATTCAAAACTCACACATCGGGAGAAATGTAGGCCCCCTTTCCCCCAGGCAAGAAAAAAATCCCTAAATAAATATCACTTACCTGAGAGAATCTGCTGGATATATAGGACCATAAGACTCCGTGTCTTTATATAGACCTAGTTCACTAATTAGAACCAATCCAATAGTCTGAGATATCGCCAACTATGATCTAAAATTGGTGTTTTTAGAACTGTCTGAAAAAAAATAAGAAAATTAGTCGAACTACTGTAAAGAATCAAATTGATAAGAAAAAATAAATAAATTATTTGGTATTCATTACTTTAAAGAACTCCTACTAAGCCTGGTAATCAACAAACCAACGTGTTAGATGAAAATAAAAATTCTACCAACGTTCTGTTTGTATTATACCTAGCCTCAAATATACAAATTACTGATGAAAAAAATATGTACAGGTATTAAATTAGTTAATCAAAAGTCTTTATATGAACAAATCCAATAGTCAATGTGAATAGTAGTCCAATTTTATGCAACAGTGCAATCAGAAAAGTTCAATATCAATGTCTGAATATCGGCAAAAAAATATTAAAGTCCACAGTCAAATGAAATATATACAGCCTAGGCAAAATATGTACACTGCAGTCAATGTAAAGTTCGACAATTACGCCAAACCAAGCAACCAAATCCTCGACTGTCAACTCGTAGCTGTCCACGTAGACCTATGCGAATCGGGCACAGTCACAAACGCACAGCATTAGATCGACGACAACTCGTCCATGGCCATCACCACATCATCTGAATATACTGATCGGTGTTTTACCGGACAGCAAGAAAAACAATCCCTCTTCACTGGACCGTGTTCTACGGGGCAGCGGGCATCCTTGGCGGAGAGAAAGAAAGTATCCCTCTTCTCTGGACCGTGTT